ACACCTTAACCAGCCTCAACAATCTGGCTCTAACACTGCACAGACAAGAAAAGTATGATGAATCAGAGAGGATGGATAGACGTGCACTTGAGGGACGCGAGAAGGTTCTTGGACCAGACCACCCGCACACCTTAACCAGTCTCAACAATCTGGCTATGACCCTGCAAAACCAGGGAAAGTCCGATGAAACCGAGGCTATGCATCGGCGTGCACTTGAGGGACGCGAGAAGGTTCTTGGACCAGACCACCCGCACACCTTAACAAGCCTCAACAATCTGGCTATTACCCTGCAAAACCAAGGAAAGTACGATGAATCCGAGGCTATGCTTCGGCGTGCACTTGAGGGACGCGAGAGGATCCTTGGACCAGACCACCCACGCACCCTAACATTCCTCAACAACCTGGCTGTAGTGCTGCGAAACCAAGGAAAGTACGATGAATCATGGGCTATGAGCCGGCGTTCACGGTGGAGACTCTTGGGAAACCCGGGCCGGGCATAGCTGCACTTTCTAGAACGTGATGCGCTTTGCCTTCCTAACATTGCCTCCCTTGGCAAGGGCAATAGGCTGGTAAGGTGGTTCCTCCTCATGTCGCATGTGGTCTCATTCCACTAGGGGTGACATGAGTCGGCCAACAATTTCTACTCATCTTGGAGGCTGTGGGGACCTGACGCCAAAAATGGCGCAATGTGTAAGTAACAAGAGTAATTCGTGGGCGGTAGCGGTGGAATTTTCAACCCCTTGTTCATTACAACCAAGAGATAATTGTGTATGTAGAAAGTATCCGACAATTTTGCTGACCTTTCACCTTTTATTTTCCATTATTTCCGGTTTCTTTTTTTTAGCCGTCTATTTGCCTATTTTTCATAGCGAATCTTATCTTGTATCCTCCCACCCCATAACATCCCGGCAGCCCTCTTCACCCGGCGGAATCATAATTAGTCATCTACCTGTCCATACCGCCATCCCCCATCCGTGTGGGCGCGAACCCGCGGTCAGTGTCACTTGGTACCCTATGCCATACCTGCCGGTGGCCGTCCCGGCTGCTTTCCCAACCAGCACTATGCGGCCTTACATCCTAAGCTACTAAAACAACTAGTAGTAAATTTGTGGTCTCGTCCATGGTTCAGCCGCAGGAATTGTCAGTCACAATCTGCCCAGTTCCCTGTCTCAGTGCCGATAATGTGCTTGGCCGTGAACACTCAAAAGTAGTCAGGACCTTAACACCAACTTCTGTTGAACAACAGGAGATGTGATCGCAGTGGAAAGGCTGACCCTGGCGGGAAACGATGACGGGACCTTTTGGTGGACGGAGGAGATGAGAGCGGCGATGTATTGGTCACTGTGTTCTAGCTAAGAGAAAACATGCCGATACAATTTCTCTTCGAAGCCCTAGTTCCATAATCCATATCCTATTCAACCACTTCAAACATATGCCCTAACCATATACATTATCATCTGTGGCAGACCACATCAGTCTAACAACCACCTTGCTCAAGACCAAACTTATGCTCATGTCACTTTAGCTAGTTAGTCACAATAGACTTCTATGAGCATCCACTATTTACAACAACTTCGGCCTCCGGAGTGGCTGCCGATGATTTCCTGATTCCAAAGACTTCAAGACATGTATCTATACTGGCATGCACGTGCACCGAATAGAATACTAGAGTCTGTGCCAACAGATTCTGCATGTAAACACCCACAGTGAGTGACATGTTATCTTTCGCATAATTTCTTACTAGGGTTAGGGTTGATATACCCCCGGGCGCAGCCTCTACTGTTGATCCCCAGTGCAAGTTCATATACTCGCCTAAGCAGTTGTACCTGCCAGATCGCCATGATGAAGAGGGAAGAAATAAAAAAAAATAGCCTGTGATGTGGGCCTGTCAGCGCAAAACGTGCCCGGAGAACTGCACGGCTGAGGAGTAGAGTGGAGGCAGAGTTCGCGGAATTTGAGGTTCGTGGCGGTACCGAGGTGGTAAAGAAAATAACTTGGTTATTAGTTGCTGAGTGTTCGTTCGAGAGTAGTTTATCTCCTACGCAGTTGAGGAATATCCTGGGTGATATGGGATTGCGCAGCATCCGCACCACTCTGAGCGCTTTGTGCTCGCCAGAATCGTTTCCGCCTCTACTCTTTGGGTATCCCTGGCTTACACCAACCGAAGTTACCTCTGGGCAGTGTATTGCCTTGGCGGGTGTTTGGAAATATCTGAAGATGTCAGTGTGGATGTTTGAAGATATCTACCACCGATTGGCAAAGCACTTACTGAGCACACGGCCCATCCTATACCCTACCGGACTAATAAAGCGTGTATAGGCTTTAGAAAAGCCAGGTCTGCGAGGCCCAAGTTAATCCCACCTTGTCCGGGTTTGGCCACAGGGTATGCCTGGCAGATGGGTTATATCTAGGCGGGACGCCCTAACTTGGCTGGTGGCCAACACTGACTGTACAAAGAACGATTACTAACCTCGCCCCAGCACTTGACAGCCGGGGAAAGCAGGCTATGTATAGAACCTACAGTGATGCGTAGTATAATGCAGTTGGAAAGGACTTGTTGGACGGGAATCGTTTTTGGGCCGTTCAACCTCATAATGAATCTTCAGCCGGGTTGGAAGAAACAAAAACCGATGACTAAGCAAAACAGTCGGATGGCCATCCAGAACCTTTTCTTCCCCAGCATCCACAATTATTCTTCAACCAACCATCGACATCCGGGCAAATTACCTAGAGATAGCATCGCCCGTTTTTCCCTTCCCAGAGGCCGTCTACCGAGAACCACCGACCTTTCACTTCACCACCGCATTATCTTACGAGAACCGGCTGACACATTTGCGTCGAAAAATGAAGCGGCTCAGGTGAACCTATCGATCTCATGAGAATATGACTTGCGAAAGGTTTCGGCCGAGCTACAAGGTGTTAGAATATGGTGTTTTACTGCCATCTCTAGATAAAACAAAGTTTAAAATCTTATTTGAGGGCATGATACCGGCGTCTGACGATTCCCGGCAGATAGCGGGGTACATCACCACCGGGCCGTCTGCGAGTTGCCAACATCCTCCGCTGACATCCGACCTCGGTCCACGGCAGTAACACACCTCGGCCGCGCTCTGCGAAAGTCCTTCTACCACGAAATTTTTAAATGGCTTGACGACGGTCTAATCCTCGGTCACACCCTAGTGTGAGTAACACCTTCCCCTTCGGCTTGCTCCTCCTTCACATCCGGGGATGTAATTCGGGCGAACCGCTAATCCGGGGCAACGGGAGTATTGCGTAGTAAGGTACGGAAGACGGATCTAAGGCCCTCGGAAGTCTAACAGCTATGCTAAGAAAGGAGATATTTCTCGTTACTTCATTTTAGTCTTGATCAGTTTGCTTGGCTTGATTCCTACCTTGACGGTGTCATAGTCGCTCCAGGCTTTGTTTGGTTCTCACCTCTTTTTTTAGGTTCTTCTCGTGCCAGACACCCCTTTCCCTCCTTCGCACAATATCCCCACCATCACTA